TCAAAAACCCAGTATTCGATGCGATTCGTACAAGACGTGTCCACATGTGGCCTGAACTGCCCCATGTGTGCCAGTGTTTACAAGCCAGGCAGTGTGTGCGCATATAAGGATACATTCAGTACATTCCATATTATCACTGTTTTTTGGTGCTTGTTTCTGCAAAATAAGTCACCATGGGCCCCAAGAAAGCTTCTAGTGCCAACCCTGTGGTAAAAAGGGTGAGAATTAGTATGGAAATTAAGAATATTTTGAAGGGTTTGGGGCTAACCCTGAGATGCCTATGCTAGTTGTGGAATCCATTGTGTCTACTTCAAAAATTAAGGAAATGTGTGCAAAGTGGGTTGAACTGCAAACCTTTGTGGATGAAAATCACCCCAACACAGCTATTGCAAGCCGTGCTGGTGACTATTACAATGACAATGTTGTGGCCCATTTTAGACAATTCGTAAAGGAACAGGAGGTACAGAGCTCTATGGACAGATTTGTTGTGCGACAGAGGTCCAGTGACTCTCAAGCTGGTCCTAGTGGCATTAAAAGAAGGGAAGTAATCCCGGAAAAGGACTTGCTACCTCAAGTCCTAATGGAAGGGGATTCCCCTTCTAAACAGTAACAACTTCGACACTCTCCCCTCCTCCCATCCCATCAATCATCACCAGATCTTCATTAAAGGTAAGTGTCAATTATTCTATTGTTATTGTTCTATTGTTATTGTTGTTATTGTAATTATTCTATTGCATTAAACTTTTTTTCATACTTTTGGGTGTCTTGCACGGATTAATTTGATTTCCATTATTTCTTAGGGGGAAAGTTGATTCGGTTTTCGATATTTTCAGTATTCGATGAGCTCTCAGGACCGGATTAATATCAAATACCGGGGGTCCACTGTATTCCTTTTATTCTATTGACTGAGTACAAGAAACTGCCCATTTAACTATTTCAACTACCAAATAGTGATCAGAAATTGGTAATTTGGCCAGTTTCACACAAAATTAAAAACAGGTCACTTTCAAAATAGGGTCTGGAATAAACAATGCAGACATTACTAACATTAAAATAATATTTTCTCTGTTCATTAGTCATGTCTCCAGGCCCCTCTTATATTACACTTGCTGTCCATTTTGAATTTTTATTTGCACAAAAAATGGAAGATTTACTGTTATGTAGACTACTGCATTATTGTAATAATTATATAAATAATATTTAGTGCATTTGTGTACACATATTAGACTCGCCAGTTGACTTGTATTGAACACGTGACGTGATTTGTTTACTTTTGAACGTTGGCAAAATTCGAACATTTCTGCTATTTTGAGCTCAATTTCTTGCTACGTTTAGTCCTGAAACCACTCAAAATCATCTCCATTTCTGTAACTTATCTCCCATTCTATCAAATAAAGCCAAGAAAATGAGAATACAATCGTAAAACCATACAAAAATGAACTGCAAATTTGCAGTTTTAAACCAAAAACATGGATGCAGTTTTTTTTTCTCATTGTGCATTGAATGCTGCAAGATGTTTTATATGGTGCACACTTACCACATACACACATTATTGCATATCTATTCCCTGATTTACCGCTCACAGTTTATCTGAGTGAGGTGCCCTTATGGTGTTATACTGTGGGACCACCACTGATTTCAGAGCTGTGATACAATGGGACCGACATTGAAAGGGTTAATGAATGTCTTTAATAACATAATATACAACATTTAAGGCACCCCAGAGCAATTATTATTACATGTATTATGATTATTGTGTCTTCAACACTAGTGAGATGCTCTTAGCTACTCCCTCACCTGGCATAGCTGCTGATACTTTGTAACAATGCCAGATAGTGATTTATGGCTCCTTATGCCTTATGGCTCCTCTTTTTATCATAACTACCCTTAGATGTCACTGTAACACAAAAAGAGTATACAGTAGGGCCCCGCTTTACGGCGTTTCGCTTTACGGCGTTCCACTAATACGGTCATTTCAAATTATGACCAAAACTTGCTATACGGCTCCCCCCACCTGACTTTCTAATATGGTCACTGCGCCCCACCTGGTTTGTTTACATTCTCTGTGAGATCTGTAAGCACTAAGTCTCTCTATTATGTCTGGAAACAAAATTTCAAGTGTTTTTAAAAGTTATTTTATATATACTCTGATAATTATACTTATGTATACCTGTACCTAAATAAACTTACATACTGTGCTGGCGTGCAGGTACACATTAAATTCAGTAAGAGTGTCTTAAGTATCGAGATGTCATATTAGTAATGATAATAATAATCATCGAGTCTCATTAAATGCCGTATATTACGTTAATATACATTTTCATTAATCCATCTATGATATTTTTTCAAAATTATATAATAAATAGGATGCATAACATATAAAGATGATGAATACACCCCACAGTAGAATAAATAAACATAAATATGAGATGTGGTGGCAGACGACTTGCACAAATGACACCATATTAGAAATGATAATAATCACCGAGACTCATTAAATGTCGTATATTACGTTAATATACATTTTCATTAATCCATCCATGATATTTTTTCAAAATTATATAATAAACACGATACATAACATACAGTAGGGCCCCACTTATACGGCAGGTTAGGTTCCAGGCTACCGCCGTAAAGTGGAACACCCTTTTTTACCACTTATAAATGCATACAAACACTAGATAACAGTTTACACTAACATATATTAAGTTAGCAATAGAACCAGGCATCAAAAAACAATAAAAAAGTACAATACACTCACAGTGCACTCATTACTTACCTGAAAATATTTATAGTCTTAATCTAGGGCGAGATGAGTAGTATTTATTGTAAGAAATCAAGTGTGGTATGTATGGTAGTCAGCCAGGCTGCCATACCAGGCCACCCCACCCACACGTATATTCTATGATATTTAAGCATCCCAGAGCGATAAAATGTATATACGGTTCACTCATTACTTACCTGAAAATATTTGTAGTCTTAATGTAGGGTCAGGAGTAAGTAAATGAGATAAAACGAATAAATGAGAGAGAGAAAGAATGAGTGCATGAGAGAGGACAGGCGCCGAGTTATGTAAACAAGCCAGGCGAACGTAAGTTTTGTAAACAAAAAAAAGTGTACACGTCTGGTTTGTGTACAAATTACATTGTGTAGAAGTTGTCTCTACATTGATACGGTAGAATAAATAAAGAAGAACACTCCCATTCTCATGTAACATCATTTTGAGAAGAAATGACGCTCTGAGTGAAGGCAATGGAAATAAGTCACTCTGACTTTTTTTGGGTTATCCTGGGTTCTCTACACATATGTTGTTATGTATGATAATCTATGTAACTGTATTTGTGTATATCTGAATAAACTTACATACATACGAAAGGAGTAATTTTCTACAGTTACCCCCAGTAACACATTTTCTCTTATGTTAGATTAGAGAAAATGTTATTCTTGCCGTCACTTGTACAAGTTATCTGGGTACCACAAATTTATGTTTATTTATTCTATTGTGGGGTGTATTTATCATCTTATGTATCATGTTTATTATATAATTTTGAAAAAAATATCATGGATGGATTAATGAAAATGTGTATACAGTGGACCCCCGGTTAACGATATTTTTTCACTCCAGAAGTATGTTCAGGTGCCAGTACTGACCGAATTTGTTCCCATAAGAAATATTGTGAAGTAGATTAGTCCATTTCAGACCCCCAAAAATACACGTACAAACGCACGTACATAAATACACTTACATAATTGGTCGCATTCGGAGGTAATCTTTATGCAGGGGTCCACTGTAATATTGTAATGCGGGGGGTCCACTGTATGTGTCCAGCTTGCAAATCTAATATGCATTTAGGAATGCATATTAGGCTGACAGTATTTATACTGTTAATACAATAATGCAGTAGTGTGCATAACAGTAAATCCTTTGTGTGAATAAAAGTTCAAAATGGGAGACGTGACTCAGGAGCAAATGAAAAGTTTTTTTTTTTTTTTAGTGTCAGGAATGTCTACATTGTTTCTTCTGGACCCTATTTTGATATTGGCCTTTTCTGAATTTTGTGTGATATTGGCCAAATTACCAATTTCTGAGCATTTTATCAGGTAGTTGAAATAGGAAAATGGGCAGTTTCTCGTACTCAATCGATAGAATACTAGAAAGAATGCTAGCAAAATAGCTATGAGTTTGGTCGACTGGAACAATGGAATTGGCCAAAAACAGGGCGCAAAGTGGGCGAAATCACTGCTGCGTAAATATCACTGGGACCACTATTTTTGCAAGGGAATAATTCTGTGAGTTTTCCATCAACTTTTGTGTTTTTGGCTTCATTACTGCTGGAAAAAGATTCTCTATCATTTCATAAGATAAAATAATATATATATTTTTTTTTAATTTCTTTGACCCTGAGAGCAAGTCTGAGATCAAGGGTCTCGACCCTGAAAGGGCTAAGGAAGTACTGTAGTAAATTCTTCGAACACTGGTAATTTTAGAATAGCAAGATAAATTACATGGTACAATCACTGGTAATTTTAGAATAGCAAGATAAATTACATGGTGAAGCTGAAACACCATGAACATAGTTCTTGTACTGTAGTTATAATTAGGTAAGAATTACAAGTAATTACCAGCCTTACACTAGGGCATAATCATTGGCCTTACAGTCAAGCACACTTCACTTATAAAAAATTATTCTTGCTGTTCTGAGAAGTGACACTGCCATTTTAAGACATCATAAGCTTCTTATATTTCCTGGGTATTTATAAGACCAGTAAGTCTAATAAACTAATACTGTAGCTCTGATCTGCACCTGTACTGTAGAATAGTCAGTATTGTTATGAAGCATTTATTGTGCTGTATTGGGTTTCTGTATGCTGAAAAGGAAGAAATCACTAATTGAACTAACTCGGAAAGAGAAAGTTTATTTTTTACAACAGATCAAAATTTGTACCAGTACTGCAATGTATACCATTGTTGATACTGTATCTGTTGTTGGTCCCTCTAGGAACATCCATGGAATATGGAATGCCTTCCACTGTAGGAGTGGGTGCTGGGACCGGTTTAGGTCTTACAGGTCTTGATATTGGCCTTAAAGTCACTCCAGCCAGGGCTCCTGGTCCTGTGGTGTCACCTGTGGTTATGTCAACCTCTGTACCTACTCCTGCCTCTATCCCTTTTGCTCATGGTACAGCTCTTGCTCCTATGGCACCACCACTGGTTGCACCTCCAAGTAGTATCTCTACTTCGATGCCAGGGATACCACCTGGGATTATTCCTGGTTCATGTGTGGCATCTACTGCAGGTGTAATGCCAGGTAGTATGCCGGGTATGATATCAGGGATTATGCCCGGCTCTATGGTAGCAAGGATGCCTGCTTTAATGACTGGACCAAGAGCAGGGGCCCAGCAAAGCATGGTGGTGACAACCTTACCTACGGCTCTACGTAAGTGTTTCTCTTCACAACCATTTTGACTTGCTGCTGACTTCATTTTCTGCATGCTTTTTTTTTTCTCTATTTTATTTTAAAAAGAAGGAAAATTCATACACAAAAAATAAAATAATACAATATACAGAGTACACATACATGTCTGTCAACATATGTTTTAATCATATTCGTTCTCTCAACTGCATTTTAAGGGAAAAAATGCCTGAAATATCAATACAGTATTTCACGTTAATGAAAGACTGACTTCATAATTTATCGTCATTTAGGTTTTATATGCGTTGTCAGAAAATGTTTTTAAAATAAAATTAAGATATTCTGCACTGTATATGGCTTACTGGCTTGTAATTTTGCATAATTATTAGTAACAAATACAGTACAAAAGTCCTTCATTTTGTGATTGATACATTGCAGACCCATGGTGCATAAAACAAGCCCGGTTTAACATGTAAAACATAAGAAATACATTCAGAGACCTGAAAATTTCACATTTTTAATGTGTGAATGTGGTAAAAAATTAAAATGGTTGGGTGAGAGTAGAACCTAATAACAGGCCAGTAGGCCTGCTGCTACTTTATTGTTAAATAGAAAGGAAAGGGTTTAGCATTGGTTTAGCAAGAGTGACTGAGAGTGGGACCTGCATAGCATGGACCAGTAGGCCTTTATTTAGGAAAGCAATGGTTTAGCAATAGTAGTGGATGAGTGGGATGGTTTAGAAGAGTAGGACTCTGGTAATACTGGACAGTAGGCCTGCTATAAAGCTAATCTCAGTATTAACCACTTAACACTGATAATAAGGTTGAGGTTAATATTCAAGTAGTGCTGATCTTGGTTCATAAGAGTGTTTGGTGTATTACATAGTGGCTTCCTGGGTGAAATAAGCTTGCTGCATCTAAATAAATTTACATTAAAGTAAACTGCATACAGCAAGGGACTCCTGTAACAAAACTAACATTGAAAAGGAAATAAAAGCATGTACGTATGTAGTGGTGACTCCTCTGCCTGGTTCCATAGTGGTGACTCCTCTGCCTGGTTCCATAGTGGTGACTCCTCTGCCTGGTTCCATAGTGGTGACTCCTCTGCCTGGTTCCATGGTGGTGACTCCTCTGCCTGGTTCCATAGTGGTGACTCCTCTGCCTGGTTCCATAGTGGTGACCTCTGCCTGGTTCCATAGTGGTGACTCCTCTGCCTGGTTCCATAGTGGTGACTCCTCTGCCTGGTTCCATAGTGGTGACTCCTCTGCCTGGTTCCATGGTGGTGACTCCTCGGCCTGGTTCCATGGTGGTGACTCCTCTGCCTGGTTCCATAGTGGTGACTCCTCTGCCTGGTTCCATGGTGGTGACTCTCTGCTGGTTCCATAGTGGTGATCCTCTGCCCTGGTTCCATGGTGGTGACTCCTCTGCCTGGTTCCATAGTGGTGACTCCTCTGCCTGGTTCCATAGTGGTGACTCCTCTGCCTGGTTCCATAGTGGTGACTCCTCTGCCTGGTTCCATAGTGGTGACTCCTCTGCCTGGTTCCATAGTGGTGACTCCTCTGCCTGGTTCCATGTGGTGACTCCTCTGCCTGGTTCCATAGTGGTGATTCCTCTGCCCGGTTCCATGGTGGTGACTCCTCTGCCCGGTTCCATGGTGGTGACTGCTCTGCCCGGTTCCATGGTGGTGACTCCTCTGCCTGGTTCCATGGTGGTGATTCCTCTGCCTGGTTCCATGGTGGTGATTCCTCTGCCTGGTTCCATGGTGGTGATTCCTCTGCCTGGTTCCATAGTGGTGACTCCTCTGCCTGGTTCCATGGTGGTGACTCCTCTGCCCAGTTTCATAGTGGTGACTCCTCTGCCTGGTTCCATGGTGGTGACTCCTCTGCCTGGTTCCATGTGGTGATCCTCTGCCTGGTTCCATGGTGGTGACTCCTCTGCCTGGTTCCATAGTGGTGACTCCTCTGCCTGGTTCCATGGTGGAGACTCCTCTGCCCGGTTCCATGGTGGTGACTCCTCAGCCTGGTTCCATGGTGGTGACTCCTCTGCCTGGTTCCATGGTGGAGACTCCTCTGCCCGGTTCCATGGTGGTGACTCCTCAGCCTGGTTCCATGGTGGTGACTCCTCTGCCTGGTTCCATAGTGGTGACTCCTCTGCCTGGTTCCATGGTGGTGACTCCTCTGCCTGTTCCATGGTGGTGATTCTCTGCCTGGTTCCATATGGTGGTGACTCCTCTGCCTGGTTCCATGGTGGTGACTCCTCTGCCTGGTTCCATGGTGGTGATTCCTCTGTCTGGTTCCATGGTGGTGATTCCTCTGCCTGGTTCCATGGTGGTGATTCCTCTGCCTGGTTCCATGGTGGTGATTCCTCTGCCTGGTTCCATGGTGGTGATTCCTCTGCCTGGTTCCATAGTGGTGACTCCTCTGCCTGGTTCCATGGTGATGACTCCTCTGCCTGGTTCCATAGTGGTGACTCCTCTGCCTGGTTCCATAGTGGTGACTCCTCTGCCTGGTTCCATGGTGGTGACTCCTCTGCCTGGTTCCATGGTGGTGATTCCTCTGCCTGGTTCCATAGTGGTGACTCCTCTGCCTGGTTCCATGGTGGTGATTCCTCTGCCTGGTTATATAGTGGTGACTCCTCGGCCTGGTTCCATAATGGTGACTCATCTGCCTGGTTCCATAGTGGTGACTCCTCTGCCTGGTTCCATGGTGGTGACTCCTCTGCCTGGTTCCATAATGGTGACTCATCTGCCTGGTTCCATAGTGGTGACTCCTCTGTCTGGTTCCATGGTGGTGACTCCTCTGCCTGGTTCCATGGTGGTGACTCCTCTGCCTGGTTCCATAGTGGTGATTCCTCTGCCCGGTTCCATGGTGGTGACTCCTCTGCCCGGTTCCATGGTGGTGACTCCTCTGCCCGGTTCCATGGTGGTGACTCCTCTGCCTGGTTCCATGGTGGTGATTCCTCTGCCTGGTTCCATGGTGGTGATTCCTCTGCCTGGTTCCATAGTGGTGACTCCTCTGCCTGGTTCCATGGTGGTGACTCCTCTGCCCGGTTTCATAGTGGTGACTCCTCTGCCTGGTTCCATGGTGGTGACTCCTCTGCCTGGTTCCATGGTGGTGACTCCTCTGCCTGGTTCCATAGTGGTGACTCCTCTGCCTGGTTCCATGGTGGTGACTCCTCTGCCTGGTTCCATGGTGGTGACTCCTCTGCCTGGTTCCATAGTGGTGATTCCTCTGCCTGGTTCCATGGTGGAGACTCCTCTGCCCGGTTCCATGGTGGTGACTCCTCAGCCTGGTTCCATGGTGGTGACTCCTCAGCCTGGTTCCATAGTGGTGACTCCTCTGCCTGGTTCCATGGTGGTGACTCCTCTGCCTGGTTCCATGGTGGTGATTCCTCTGCCTGGTTCCATGGTGGTGACTCCTCAGCCTGGTTCCATGGTGGTGACTCCTCTGCCTGGTTCCATGGTGGTGATTCCTCTGTCTGGTTCCATGGTGGTGATTCCTCTGCTGGTTCCATTGTGGTGTTCCTCTGCCTGGTTCCATGGTGGTGATTCCTCTGCCTGGTTCCATAGTGGTGACCTCTGCTGGTTCCATGGTGATGACTCCTCTGCCTGGTTCCATAGTGGTGACTCCTCTGCCTGGTTCCATAGTGGTGACTCCTCTGCCTGGTTCTGGTGGTGACTCCTCTGCCTGGTTCCATGGTGGTGATTCCTCTGCCTGGTTCCATAGTGGGTGACTCCTCTGCCTTGGTTCCATGGTGTGATTTCTCTGCCTGGTTCCATAGTGGTGACTCCTCTTGCCTGGTTCCATGGTGGTGACTCCTCTGCCTGGTTCCATAGTGGTGACTCCTCGGCCTGGTTCCATAGTGGTGACTCATCTGCCTGGTTCCATAGTGGTGACTCCTCTGCCTGGTTCCATGGTGGTGACTCCTCTGCATGGTTCCATAGTGGTGACTCCTCTGCCTGGTTCCATAGTGGTGACTCCTCTGCCTGGTTCCATGGTGGTGACTCCTCTGCTTGGTTCCATAGTGGTGACTCCTCTGGCCTGGTTCCATAGTGGTGACTCCTCTGCACTGGTTCCATGGTGGTGACTCCTCTGCCTGGTTCCATGGTGGTGACTCCTCTGCTTGGTTCCATAGTGGTGACTCCTCTGCTTGGTTCCATAGTGGTGACTCCTCTGCCTGGTTCCATGGTGGTGACTCCTCTGCTTGGTTCCATAGTGGTGACTTCTCTGCCTGGTTCCATGGTGGTGACTCCTCTGCTTGGTTCCATAGTGGTGACTCCTCTGCCTGGTTCCATAGTGGTGACTCCTCTGCCTGGTTCCATGGTGGTGACTCCTCTGCTTGGTTCCATGGTGGTGACTCCTCTGCGTGGTTTCCCTGGTTTGGGGATCCTCTGCTTGGTTTCATAGTGGTGACTCCTCTGCCTGGTCCATGGTTTGGTGACTCCTCTGCCTGGTTCCATGGTGGTGACTCCTCTGCTTGGTTCCATGGTGGTGACTCCTCTGAGTGGTTCCATGGTGGTGACTCCTCTGCTTGGTTTCATAGTGGTGACTCCTCTGCCTGGTTCCATGGTGGTGACTCCTCTGCCTGGTTCCATGGTGGTGACTCCTCTGCCTGGTTCCATAGTGGTGACTCCTCTGCTTGGTTCCATAGTGGTGGCTCCTCTGCCTGTTTCCATACTGGTGACTCCTCTGCTTGGTTCCATAGTGGTGATTCATCTGCCTGGTTCCATAATGGTGACTCCTCTGCTTGGTTCCATAATGGTGACTCCTCTGCCTGGTTCCATAGTGGTGACTCCTCTGCCTAGTTCCATAGTGGTGACTCCTCTGCTTGGTTCCATAGTGGTGACTCCTCTGCCTGGTTCCATGGTGGTGACTCCTCTGCTTGGTTCCATAGTGGTGACTCCTCTGCCCGGTTCCATAGTGGTGACTCGTCTGCCCGGTTCCATAGTGGTGACTCCTCTGCCCGGTTCCATAGTGGTGACTCCTCTGCCTGGTTCCATAATGGTGACTCATCTGCCTGGTTCCA